CATAGAGTAACTAGTGGATAAAACACCATAGAGTAACTAGTGGATAAAACACCATAGAGTAACTAGTGGATAAAACACTGTAGAGTAACTGGTGGATAAAACACCATAGAGTAACTGGTGGATAAAACATCTTTTATTTTCAGTTTATAAGACTCCTTTGTTCTTTTGTTTGTTACCAGTAGTTGTGTTAAAGCCACAGGTTGAGAAATATGTGGTAAGGAAAAGGTATTGCATCAACACATTTAAAGTACTTAGCATGTTAGGATAAAGAAATGCTACAGTTCAGATCAGAATGTTCACCAGCTTTTGCCCTGTTTCCATGTTTTGGACGATAAATCACATAGAAATATATGTTTCTGCCGTCTTGTGTTCCATTCATTGTTACAGAATATCCTTAATTTCAGCAATGCTGAAACTGGTGGTTTTGATATGGAGACAAGAGCAAGACGTTTGTTAAAAGTGTTATATAAGTGCGTTTCTTCAATTAACGCATGTTTGTTCGCTCTAGGTTTGCTATAAAGGTTGTCTCGTAGACGTTGTAAAGCTTATTCTATTGCAATCAGGTTTATCGTGAAAATCAGGTTACTTACTTCAACTCAGTAACTATCACATGCTGAAAAACGGCCATCTCTCTAGAAACACGCCCCAACAGTGACAGATCTACATGGGCCGAGTAGGGGAGAAGACTCTCCTGGATCACCCACTGTCACCTGGCTTGTGACTTTGGGGAGATCTGAGTAGCTCCTGAAGTCGGACCGTTCAGCAGTAGCCCGAACATCACGTGCTCTGAGGCTGTCAAGCCGATAATTTCGATTAGACGATGTTGTAAAACTGAGATTCTCAACGTGTATGACGTGATTCTCCCTCGAGCCTAGAATTATACGTTAGCAATTAAAACATATTAGATTCTGTCGACGATAAGGTGCTGTCAGAAAACATGAGACTGTGTACCTTCTTCTGTCCAACGGCACAGCGGTAAGTGTGTGGATTTATAACATTAAAAAATGGTTTCCATATCCGTGTTGACACAGCATAGATAGCCCATTGTGTAGCTTTGTGCTTAGCTACAAACAAACAATCTGTCTGCATACTATTGCGTTAAACTAATTAGAAACAGAGAAAAAAAATGCCAAGCCATTATTTTATGTCCATTCTTTATTGTCTATTCTAAGCCATATGGATAGATAAGAGGCGGCCCCTGGAGTAGGTTAAAATCGGGCTGGTAAACAGAAACAGGATTGGTTGTTATGTAAAACCTTATCAGTGCACCGCCGTTAAGAGCCAGTAGTAAAGGAACTGATATCGTTTTATTACTCGATCTATACAAAATACTATCGATTATGTA